AGCAAAGTAGACAGCTGAATTATTAAAGTGCTTTTTTTAAACATGTTCGTGTTTTTTCTTGAACCTAATAACTTGAAGTACAAAGTGTGTTGTAACACTGACAGAGCATTGTTGTCCATGGCCTCGCTTTTTACTTCATGTTAAAAATACAGACATTCTTACTATCAATATTGAGTTTTTATAGTATTTAAGTATTGGTCAAATCACCTCTACCCAGATGATTTATTCCGACAATAAACATGTAACTGTACTACAACTATTTCAAATCTCACTGTGAATGAAGGCTAGAGTCCTCTACAGCAGCCTGTTTGGTTTCAACCTGGCAATTCGCTGCATATCTCTCCCATTCTCTCTCCCACTTTCATGCTTAAATTCTGTCCTTTCAATAAAATGTTTTAAATCTCACTGACATAGTTTGGTCTAATAAAGTAATTTGATCATAATTGTGAATCAATTAAAAATTGGTCTTTACGTCAGACAAAGAATTCAAGTTGTTTTAATGTAACAATGATCCAGACCATTCTTAAATATATAGGAAAATGGCAAATCATTGGCTCAGTCAGCTTTTAATTCACAAGTGGCATCATTCAGTGCATCTTACTTGGGAATAAATATTCTAACAATCTAAATAAGATCCACAAGCATCCTGAATTAAAACAATTCTTACTCATTCCATAAAAGAAAAAAAGCTTTTGTCCTATAAAACATCATGATTAACAGTTTTATAAAAACATACAGTACAAATCTGATGTCATCTGAAAGTCAGGATCTACCACATTGATCACATCAGCACCAAAGAAAATTGAAATAATGGCTTTAGCATCAATACAGCATTCAAGTTGAATAATGTGCAAGTTCGATACAGAATTGACATTTGTTCCTCACCCTTTATCACACCCAGTTACTGGGTTTTATTTAGTATTGTAGATTTTAAGTCAACTCCCTTCTAACCTGTGATAAAACACACTGTGATAAAGCATTTACTTTCAGTCAGGCACCTAAAAAAAGCAAATCAATACCTTAGAAGAACCAACAACCCCTATGATTTGACCCCATTTACCCAAATTTAACCGATTAAACATAAATGCCCCGAACAAAGTGTAAACTTGGATTTGATTGCAAGATCATCATCTTTGAAGAAGTGTCTCTTTAAAATGCACTCATCTCAGTGGTGGGGATAACATGCCTGGAAAATAAGAACATTTGTTTTAGTAAAATGAAAAGATATTTTTCAGCATGTACAATTAGGGCCAGGCAATAAAAGAAAAACTATCATGATATAAATTTAATTAGTAGCAACATAACAAAAGTCTAATATATATATGGATATAATGCTTGTGCATTATATAAGCGCATCACAAAACATAATCTGCCACAGATTTATAAGATGTTTTGATTTAATAAAGTCTGCAAGATACTTCCATGAAGAGCTGATATTACATTAGGTCTAAAGACACAAGCTCAAATTTCCTGAACCCTGTGCATGTTTATAAAAGGTCAAATGTACCTTTGTTTTAGTGTATCTGCTAAGTTGGAAGGCTTCCTCTGCCAGGTTTGAACTGAAGGACTCTTTGCTGTGACAGTCTGAGCTGAGGCCATCAATCAGGCTGGCAGTGCCTGCTGAGGTAGTGTTGTACCCACTGTCCACCTAAATAAACCCAAATAAATCAATTAGACATTGTGAAGAACGATACAACAATCATATGAGAGTTGGTTACACATATAGCGTGGCATAGGACACAGTGGATGACAAACCTGCATGCTGGAATCGTAGCGTATGCTGCTTCCCTCTGCCAGAGATACAAACATGTGGGAGCTTTCTGTTACTGATACATTGCCCATGCGAGAGCTGGTCAGCTGTTCCAAAAGCCCCCCAGCTTCCTCCTCTTCCTCCAGTCTCCCTTCTATCCCAGCCTCCTTGCCCTCCTCCATTTTCACAGGTTCCATAGGATCCAGGATAACTCTCCCAATGGCAGCAGGGTGACATTCCTGGGGCAGGGGCGACGATGGATCAAGCTCCATTGATGGGAGAGAAAAGGAACAAGAGGGAAGTTGGTCCTCAGCCTCATGATAGTCTAAGAGCTTAGGGTTGAGGATGGGGGAGATGAGGGGAGGGGAAGCCCAGCAGCGGACTCTGGGCCTTGGCTTAGTTCTGACATTGTGCCGGGGCTCAGTGTGACAACGTAGGTGGTGTGGAGAGCAGCTATGAATGGGAGAGCAGCTATGAATGGGAGAGCAGCCCTCGACGAATGGACTCTCATTGCAGGAGGTGACATGTACTTCCAGGGGAGCACTGAGTGGAGTCAAATTGGTCGACTGCGTCCTCTCAGCTTCAAAAGATCACAGATTAAGGTTGAAGAGAAAATTAGTTTAAACCAAGTCTCTGGAAAAAATGACTTTAAATCATCATAAATTAGGATAAGTTACGAAACAAATGGTCTACCTGAGCCAATGGGTGTGCGTGCTATATGTGCAACAATAGGAGAAATTGTGGGGGAGACGAGGCCTGCAGGAGACGACCTATCAGGGAACAGCGGACTGTTGATGCTGCCAAGGCTGCAGTCCCGGAAGCAGCCATGTTGGATGGGGCTGGACGAGAATTGGCCCTAAAGACAAAACAATGACATGTATGAGTCATTATGTATGAGGAAATCAGCAGGAGCTAAAATGTTCAGTTAAGTTGTTACATGCTTTTTTCAATTTCCATGAATGATATAGCCTGATAAAGTGGTTTTTCAGCTCAGCGATGAATGATTGCATTGATGATTTAACTAATGGCTCCAGATATGAAAACAGAAAATAAATTTTCAAAAACAATACTACTGATCTTATATTAAAACAAAATTTGACTTATAATCTATTGTGCTTTGACAAACTGTACCAAGTATATGGTGAAATAATCATTGTGTGAATTCAATACACTACACTCACCGTAGAGGGAGTCGGAGCAGACAAACCGCAGGATAACGGGGAGGAAAACACAGATGACATGGCTTCTTCTCCCTCAGCACCTTCAACCCCACCTGCAGCCCTCTCTCGTCGGGTCAGAGAAGGCGTCTCCTGTATGACATGGCATCTCTCTGGGCTTGGCGGGTTTGAGCTGTCAGAGCCGCTGTAACTGCCCTGACCATCAAGGAAGAGTTTTCGTCTCAAGGAGGAGGAACTGAGGCTCTCCTGCACAGCATCACATGCTTCCTCGTAGCGGTAATATTCCCCTGAGGAGAGGATAGAACCACACAAACAGACAGACATGACTTGATGGTAGAATATTCTATCATACTCAGGTGTGATTGTGCTGACATTTATTTGAGGCTTACCTAGTACTTTCTCCAAATCAAACGCCAAAGGTAATGACAGAGTTGTCTGACACGCAACTGTGCAACAAACATAGAAAAGAGAGATTGAAAACTCATTATAAAGAAGAGATGGGGAAAGTAGTGCAGACAGAAATGTGAAACACACATACCTGAGACTTTTTCTTGTTCTTCTGCAATCATTGCAGACCCAGAACCTACAAAGCACAAACATGCAAAATACAAGATGAATATGAAATAAAGGAAACAGAATACAACATAAAACTCAAGAAAATAACAGAAGAATAATGTGACTATAAAAGAATTTCAGGAGTTGTAGACACACACTACCTTTTTTAAAGATCTGAGGGGCTTTGCGAGTGTTTGGTGCTGCCCAGGGGGATGGTACGATGGCTCCTTTGGTGAAAAACTTTATTGAGAGACAAAAATGACACATTAACAAAAATGATCTATAAAATTATTACAAATTTGACTTTTATATCATTACATAATGTGGATATAATTAATACCCCATACCTGCTCAATAGCATTTTGACGCTTTTCCTCAATGTCAGAATCCATCCTAGATGTAAAAAAAATTATTATATCAAGAGGTGCTTGGTTAAGTAAAGCAACTCAAAGAATTTGTCACAATGGCTTGCTCATCACCTACACACAGTTGTATGCAATTTATTTAATTTTTTCTCTCTCACTTTGGGAACTGTTCGGTTTCTCTTTAATGTTGGGATTTGGTTCTGTACAGGTAAAATGAACACAACTGTATGTTTATGACCGAGCCAAAACTACTTCGTTTTCAGTTCGTACCTTGTCTGGCTGAGGTAAAACGACTGTCGCTGGATTTCCTCTGGGTCTATGTGGACTGGGAGAAGACTGGCCATTTCATCAATAGACCAGTTAAACTTGGGTGGAGTCTGGAGGGGCAGACAGGGGAGGAAGTGAAGAAATGACTAAAAACAACCTTTAGCTGAGCTGGTGGATATAAAACAATGTTAACAGGTTTGCAGTAAGGTGTGTCCCAAAGCATTGCTTGTAAAAAAAAACATGAGGTGATGGACGCAGGTTGTGTGGTCATACTCACAGCTTTACAGGACTTGGACTTGAAGACGGATGGACTTGGCACCAGGGGTTCACGGAGGTGGTGGTAGTCATTAGGACTCTCAAATGGGTTTCTAATGGAGGGTCTGCCTGGGGTCTCTGGGGCGATCTGAAGCTCGACTTGGTCCCCCATCTTAGCAGGGAACAGGGGGGAGGACATTGAAGGTTCACAGTTGATAGAACATAAAAACAACTGAAACTACAACCTGAGTTTCGTCAGGTTGGTTAGTTGACAACATTACTTCGTGTTAAAGAGCTTCCTGTCTGTTGCATAAGCAGAGCGAGGCTACTCACCAGATTAGCTACAGTACACACCACATTACCTAGAAATAACAAAGGTGTGTGTCTCTATTAACGTGATAGGTTTGATGTTGGTACTTACATCTGTTAAAGGACCTGGATCAGCAGAGACACGGTTAAAAAACGACCTTCATGGAGGAGCCAGCGAGCAACAAGCAGCGAGGGGTTCAAACGTTTATTTCAATTTCGCCCAAAAGGACCCGTCAGCCAATGGGAACGCCACAGGAAGTCCCCGCCAGCCAATCACAGCAAGAATCAGTGTCGTCACTTCCTCCTTCAGTTCCGCTTTCGAGCTTAGCAGGCTAGGTGGCTAACTAGCTACGAATTTTGCTTCCTTTTAATGGTTTCTAATATTTTATATATATATGTATAAATATATATATATTATCTGAAACGAACACGAGACGTTTGTAGCCGGGCTGAGGTGTTAGAGATAACAGTTTCGTCCTGTATCGAGTCAGAGAGATATTTAAGTGTTATTTGTTAGCCAGCGTCGGCTAACTGTTCCCCTTCCACCATGGCAAGTGCAGCTAACACAAACCTAAACGCAGTCCGGGAGACAATGGACGGTAACTACATGTTTTTATTGAATGTATCTATTGAATAAATTAAAACCCTCTTGCTAATAGCTTTCTTTGCTAACCCATAACTTATCAAGACATGTAGCAGATCATGTTTTCTAACCAGACACGTAATGCAAGTAGTTCTCATGTGTCCCGTGTTCCCCCACCACAGTGCTGCTGGAGATCTCCAGGTTGCTGAATACTGGTTTGGACATGGAGTCTCTGTCCATATGTGTGAGACTGTGTGAGCAGGGCATCAACCCAGAGGCCCTGTCTGCTGTCATCAAAGAGCTGCGTAAAGCGTCTGAGTCCCTGAAGGTAAACAAACTGGCTTTACACAACATACTGTACAGGACACATCCACGTCCACTCTCATGTCTGTTTGGACTGTTTGGATTTGGATCGCCTCTTTCATGTTAACTGCTCAAATATTTGCTATGATCACGTTCTCGCATTCTTTCTATGTGTATTATTTGGGACTTGCATCTTTTGAGTGACAGCATCATGAAGTGAAATACCAATCACAATCGATGACAACCGCTAAAGGGAAAATATCTTGTTGTCAAGGGAGTTATCATCACAGAAAGCCTCCCCAAAAGCAAAAATGTTCAATGTGAGTCCCTGATATTTGTTGTGGTGAAGCTTGGGAGTTTTTCACATTTATCAAACTTGCAGACGAGCTCACCCAACCATGTATTTCACCTCAATCTTGCAAACATATTTCCAAAGTCTTGAGCACAGATGTAACCTGCCCATAAAGCAAGGGTAGTTTTATTCTTAGAAAAGACATCATAATAATAAATAATAATAATCAGTAATATCACTCCTGTATGTATATTTTCTCTTTCAGGCTTCTGAAAACTGCACAAACTGAAGGTGAAAACCATAGTGTTGGACATTTAATAGGATCATAACCTGTTCCTGGATCTGCACTTACCATGGCCTCTACAGCCATTTGTGTGGGCCATCTGTCTTCTGCGCCACCACGGCGACAAACATGCATCCTGTTCTTTGCATTGACTCGAGCCAGAGTTTTTGTGTAGAGGCGTCAGCCACAGACGTTCAAGAACATAAGCCATCTCCAAGCAGGAGGGCACACTCAGCCTTTCTGACTCACATTTAGGCTTGCTCCGAGTTTCTTCTACCACCATTTGTAAAAAGTTCAGAGTGGTATCAGTGTTGTCATCCTGCCTTAATTTAGGATCATAATTACAATTTCTGAACTTGTGTTGCACTTTTCATGAGGAAATGTCTTTTATTTTGTCTTTTTATGTCCATGAGTTTAGATTTTTTGTTATTTTGTGTAAACACAAGGCATTTTCCAAATTCTGCTATTTCATGTTGTTGTCCATGTGGAACAGTATCTAAATTAAAATGTTGCAGTCAACGGCCACCAGGTGGTGTTATCATCCTTATTCCAATCTGAGGTAAAGATCTTCTATGGGTTTTAGATTGTGTCCAAGATCTTATCATGAGTTTTCTAATATGTTGTTCAGAGCAATTCAATACTTTGATTTTATGGGAAACTTTAAAAACATTTTTTTGTTTGTCTGTCTTTGCTCATTTTAGAATGCAGCAAAACTGTGATATTCTTACAATACTTTTGTCATTAGAAGTGGAATTTTCTAGAGCATTTTACAAAGAAAATTATCTTTCTAGTCACACTAGGTGAAAAAGGTAAATATACTGGTGGAATATTGCACATTACAATAAAAACAGACAGGAGTGATCCCATCTACAGTCAACATACTATCCAAAAAAATAAGACATAAACAAGGGTCATTTGTTACAGCAGAACAGAGAAACCTTGCCTTTCTTATTTCTGCACTCTATCTAAAAATCTAAGAGGTATACTGCAAAGTTGACAAAATAAAGCCATCTTTGATCAACCAGAAATGAAGCCACTACATCACGTATCTAACAGCAGCATTGTTTTGTTTCTTCACTGTCTGTAAAATAACTCGATTCATCTTCTGGACGAGGGAAAATGCTGAGAGCACAGAACATTCCTCCACAGGCCAATATAAAGGCTAGATGTGACCTCTCCTCGGTGAGTCTTGTATGAGTAGTGTGTGTGTGTGCCTCTGTGTGTGTGAGTTTGGGTTTTCATGCAGTGCCGTAGATGTCTACAAATGAGTAGCCCCTAAGTCATCTGACAGTAGCGCTTCACCCCTCGCAGGCACACCGCAGAGAGAGCCGGTGAGTGAGCAGGAGAGTGTGTGCGCGTAAGCATTTCTGTCTTCTCCTGCTTTGTCTCGCCATCTTGACTGACAGCCTGCGAGTCTAAGTCTCTGTACGGCCGCTTTGATCTCTTAACACAGTATCTCTCTGTTCCTCAATACCACCATCGTGTTAGCCAAGTATGAAAGGCATACAGATACAGTGCAGTGGCTCTCCTTGATAGCCAATAAGCCTAAACAACCCCTGGCCTCTGTGGGGGGTGAGCTGCATGAGATGTTGATGTGGGAGACCCATTTTGAGAATCCCTTTATTTTACAAAGGGTAAGAGTTATGCATGGCTTGATTGGCTACTGTGGGCGTGAGATTTAGGATGCATTGCTCTCTGTTTGATGTGTTTGAAGGGTTTCTCCTGATCCAAACTGGCTACTTTGATCTCTGTAAAACAAAATATTCCCAAATCCCATAGTCCTGACTGAGAGATTAGCGTCCACATATGCATAAACATCTAAGAGGTGTTCAACTAGGGCACTGGTCAGGTCACATGACTGTATAAACTTAAGAGGCAAGCAGGTCCTCACATCACAACTTCTGAGGGTGTTTATGTTTGTACGTCTGATAATTATCCAGGCCACGGATTATTTTTCTGATAAATGAGGGCAGTCTCATTTAAAAAGTGAAAGATCTATGTGTTGCAATTACGGCTCAGGTGTAGGCAGTGGATATTATCAAAAATAATTAGACTGGACTGATTAGAAGTTCTTTATGTATAAGGAAGGATGGTCTGTTGATGTTTGTACAATCCTAAATTAAACATTGTCTCTTGAAAGCAGCATCAGTCTTCACCCAATCCCCAAAGAGGGAACATGATAATATAGATTTTTGCAAATTTATTTAAAAAGGAAAAAACAGTTTGGAGAAACTGAGACTCTTCTTAGAGCTGGTTGTCTAGGGATCCTGTGTTGAGGTGGGATTGAGAACTATAGACAAGATGTGCCTTTTAAAATCAGCATCTCAAAGACAGGCATTTTCACTGGGATGGCCAAGATGGGACACAGACCTAGTGTGGGGTGGTCATGGCAGAGTGAACCTTAATGAACACTAACCCCTGCTAACATCTGGTTTTTGTCTGCAACAGGAATGGGTTCAATCCTGGGTCGAATGACTGTGAAGCAGACACTAGTTGTAATCGGCTCTGGCTCTGATCGGCAGTGAGGGAAACGTTACACCCAGGTCAGTGTGCTAATTTGGCAAGATAGCTTCAGTTTTAGACACATTAAAAAAACCTGCTTATACCCACTAATTTTGAATATTTTCTCATGAATCAATGTGATATTTAAGTTTTTCCTTTTGTTAAAAAAAATAATTCTACCTTCACTTGGTCATTGTGGTAGTGGAAGTATTATGGTAGTGGTGCAGTGGGTTTCCAGGCTTTTCCAGTCTCTGCACAGGGGTAATTTAGGGTTCAGCCACTTGAGTGGAGGAACTGGGGATCAAACCGCTGACCTTCTGGTTAGTGGACGACGTGGCCACTCTGACTTCCTCCCACAGTCCAAAGACATGCAGCTTTGGTTAAGAGGAGACTCTAAATTGCAGGAATGTGATCGTGAGCGGTTGATGGTCTCTGTATGTTGGCCCTGCAATAGGCTGGTGACCTGTCCAGGTTTTACCCCGACTCTCGCCTCATGTCAGCTGGGCTCCAGCCCCCCACCCACAACCCTCGTAAGATAAGAAGCATGGATAATGGATTATGGGGTATCGAGTGTTTTATCATAAGGCCACAATTGAAAAAAGAATGTGAAGAAATTGAATGGATCTGAACACGTTCTATAAAACAAAGATCACATGCAGTAGGTATTCTGGTACTTAAGTGACAGCTTTGTGAATTTTTCTGTAACCTGTCTGACTCTCATCCTCCAGTAATGTGAAGCTCCACTGACTGTATTTGCCCTGAGAGGAGTTCTGTGACCTTGCTGGGGCGTACTCCAATACACCACCCTTTTATACTGTAAGATTATACTATTTAGGTCCCAATTAAATTCATAGCAAGGAAATTGGATCATAAACTCTTTACAGGATCGTTAACAATCATTACACAGGATAATGACATGGCAATCAAAATATGTTAAGAAAAAAAAACTTCCAAAGTCTTTTGGTGACTTTGTTGTTTTTGGACGTTTTCCAAGCAGATTAATGTAGAATTGATTGATTTACAGTTGTAATTAGCTGTCTTCTGCATAGATGCATAATAATCGTATATCTCCCTGCTTGTTTTAAGGCCATTAATTGGTTTCATTAACAAAGGCAGTTAATTGAATAACAATTAACAAAGTTGGTGATGGCATCGATGCCGCGCATGCAAGCTCCCTTGTGTTTTCCCTTTGATGATAATGAAACCACTTTTTTATCAGATTGGAATTTTGTGTGTTGGACTATGTAATGACTAATATGATATTGGGCTTATTAGTTTATTCGAGTGGCTCACTGAGGCGTTAAGCTGCTATTGAACACGTTGTGTTTAACAGGTAGGCACCATATGCCGCCTTAATCAGACATTGGAATCACATTTGGTTGTTAAATTGTGTTCTAATAAAAGCAGGTAGTAAAACAACTTGAGCTAATTCAATTTCAGTCGAGTTTGGGTGCAGGGAACAGCTGTTCATATTTGTTGAATTGTTTAAGCATTCCCTCTCTCGTCGTGTGTGTGTGTGTGTGTGTTTTGTGTTTTTCAAGGTTTAACTCCAACAGTCTGTTCCTCAACTTTTCTTGTAGAAGATAGAGATGGAGGGTGGACTAGCTGTCCACTTTGCTTAAAAGAAGACAATACCAGGCATATTGTAGTGACAGCTTGCATTGTGCATGTGTGCATGTGTGTGTGGATGTGTGTGTGAGAGTGAGAGAGAGAGAGAGGGAGAGAGAAAGAAAGGAGACAGAAGAGAGAGCATGAGTGTGTGTTACAAAAACAAAAAAAATATAGTGTGTGTGTGTGTTACAGTGACAGCTTGTATTCTCCGTGATTAATGATGTGCTGTGTGACTTGATAAGTGCTTCGGAGGACCAACGCTTGTTTCAATTAGACCTTGTGAAGGTCGCGACGCCGCGCCGGCCTCTCATTATCATATCCATAATCAATCCACATTATCATAGGGGAATGTGGAATGGATGTGTGATATCTTGGTCATACACACACAAAGACACCTAATCACATACCAAAACACAATGACACCCTCTCTCACTCACATGAGCACACACACACACACACACACACACACGCACACACACGCACACACACGCACTCTTCACTCCAAGTTGATTTGAATCATAACAGTGGCTGTCGGAACGGATTGTCTGTTCAGATTAAGAGTGTGTTTGTGAGAATTAAGCAGCGTTGATGGTGGTGGCATTTCAGATCCCCTCTGCAGACACAAATGCCAAAACATCATTCTTTGACCCCCCTCTTGGCCTCCCACACACACACACACGCACACACACACTTAACCAGGGGCCCTGGGGCACTTTTAATAGAGGCGAAGTGATTCGTATGTTTTTACTCCTCTAATGAGAACAGATTGAGTGGTATTTACACTTCATCGGCTGATCTAGCCACCTACACATTTCCCTCATGCTTCTGCTGCTCACTGGCCAAAACAGACATGTGGAAAGGACCGGAGCTTGGCTTTCAAACAGCAACACAACATGAGCATTATCTTTGCCGCTTTGGCTCACAGTGGCATGATATGGCAAGAGGAATATGAACTGTTATAGAGGGAAAAAAAAGGCAGCCAGATTTCTTTGAGGACATTGTGTCTATTTGTCTCAGACGGAGGAGAAAGTAAAGAAAAGGTGTCTGAGACTAGATTTAAATCTTTCGCAAAGAGGAAGAATGCATCTGACTGAAATCTGACGTGTTGTTTCCCACTGAATCCTTAATTTAATTAGTCTACCTGAGATCGAAGCCCACAAAAAAAGGAGAAATTGATAAACACATCATCTATTTCCTCCAGAAATATTCTAGCAACAAACCAGTGCAATGAACGGAGTCAAGTGAAAAAGGATGAAATGCAAGAATCACACTGTAGTGAAGAAATTAGAGGAATAATAGAAGATATGAAATATTAATTCACTCAGTAATATTTAGAGAAGGAGAAATTGTTCCAGGTGGAAAAATGGATGGTGTGCAGATTTGAGGATTAGGTCTTAGCAGTAAAATTGACCTCCACCGATTTAGCATTGGACATTGTGACATGTGCGAGAATCAAAATTGATGCAATTGAACAAGATATTTTATTTAATTCAATCCAACAAATTCAACGGAGTTCCCCTGTAATATGAATAGGACTTAGTTTTTCTCTTCCCCTGTGTATCGCATATTATGTTTTTATAGTTCACAGGAGAGTTTTTATGTCAAGTATCAGCTCATTGTTTCATTTCAGGGGATTTTAAGCACAATAGCTGCTGCATGAATTAAACCTGTGACCTTCCTGTTGTGAGAAAAAGTCACTTCCCACCAGGGCCTCCTGCAACCTCCAGTACCTCCAGGGTTATCTTTAACACCGTGGATGGATGAACTAAAACGGATGAAAGGTTGTAATCACAAATCATTTCTTCCGGCCGGCGTATTACTCACCAGCTCCTTGTTTATGCCACTTTTTTGTAGATTACCTGGGTTCATATAATCTATCATCAGATCTATTATGAGACGATTCCACGACCTTAATAAAAAAGTCACAGAGCTGCGGCCTGCGAGGTTAGAAACTGAACATTTCTCTGCTTGGTAACAGTTTAAGGTGAGAATTTACAACATGAATCAGCTCGGCTCAACGCTGATGGCTTTATCGGTGTATTTTCCACAGACGGAGAAAGAGAGTCGTGACATTTCTTTTTTGGCAAGGAAAAGGCCAGACTCAGCAGGAGTTATCAAAGACAAAAAAGTAAAAAGTTCGAGTTAGCTATCTCTCTCTCTTCCTCTCTCTCTCTCTCTCTCTTCCCCTGGAGATACTCATGTTAAGCATAATTAAGCAGATTTGATTAGCATCAAGCCTGGCTTCCTCTCTTGACTTTTAATGAATGTAAATCTACCATCTACATCCTAAAGATTAATTTCTGCCAATTAAAAAACACAAGAGGGCTTATTGGAGAGAGAGGGGTGGGGGGGCGCTCGGTTGGGAGGAAAGACAGTGTTCGAGTCCTTTGAGTTGGAGTACAGTCAGAGTTTTATCCTCTTTCCCCCCTTGTCTTATGGTGAGATGGTCTCTGGAGATCTGTGTCTCTCCCTCACGACCGAGATCATTATCAGCACAATGTTCCGTGAAAGCCACTTTGAAAGGACTGCAAGCTCCATATGTAAATGATGGGAGTGTGTGTCTCTCTGTGTGTGTGTGTGTGTGTGTGTGTGTGTGTGTGTGTGTGTGGACTGCATGAGGAAGTGGTACAAGGAACAGGTAAAGGGGTCAATTTGTCAAGACAAGGTTATTTCCCCCCCGCCCCCTTATGAGCTTTTGCCCAGCGTGTCATCTCTCTGAGTCTCTCTGGATCATTCAGGTTCAGATTTTTGCTGATATAAGACCATAAAAGTACGAGCCCCCCCAAAAAACCTTATATTAATGACAAAACAATGGCAGGCGGCAGGAATGATGTGCATCATAAATTACTTGAATAAAGCCCACTAGACGTTACATGTTATTTTTTTGGCTCATCCATATTTGTACTAATAAACCCTTCCCTGTATTTCACTACTTTTGAATTTTTACTTTCAAATGAAAAAACACTGGTCGTCTTTTTCTAGCATCCTTCATAAATGTATGTTGTCTTGTGAAGACACGCCAAGTGAAGATTTTATATCTTTTGTTGAATAGGGTGTGGCTTTCATATATAAGCCATTACTGGTTTTCTACCGCACTCCACACATATTTTTTTTTTACATTTCATTCATATATTGTGTATGTATGTATGTAGCTTAACTAAACCAAACTAAACTAATCTAAATTCAAATTAATTAAACAACCAATTAGATTCCATTTTATTTCTTTTTTTGATTTATCCTTTATTTAAACAGGAACGTCCCATTGAGATAAAATATATTCCTCCTGAAGATGGGCAGTAATGACGTAAACAAGTTTCAAATAGCAAATACAAGCAGACACACACGCACGCACGCACATGCACGCACACACAGGTTTGTGCAGATATCCTTATTAGGACTTTGCCTTGACTTCCAATGGACAGCCTAACCAAAACTTAATCGCTAACCTCAACCATGACATTAACCTAACCACAACTCACATCTTACCTCCAACCTTGACCAGGACCTCAGAAATGAAGTTTTGCCTCATTAGGACCAGGCTTTGGTCCCCATGACGACCACTGGTCCTGACAAGGTCAATGTTTATACAGGAGAAGGTAACAAAAATGAGCACACACACACACACACACACACACACACACACACACATTAGAACACAGAAAACAGATTAAAATCAAAGAACATATGTAGAAACATGTTGAAATTAGTGGCTAAAATAAATTATGGGAAATAAAAAGCACATGTGACAAGAAATTGACATTAAAAGACATTGTACTATAAAAAGAGTTTAAAACATGTCAAGAGTTCTTTACAAACTGATATTTAAGAGGCAAACATACCGTCTACATGTAGAAAAAAACTTTTACATTTGTATTTTATTCTAAACTTTATTTAAAGCTCCCTCTCGGCAAAGCCTCTGATGTCATATTATATCCATATTAACTAGTATTTAGAGATTGACAATGATTGATAATGATTAAAAACAACTGCAGTCGCCACGTCATATCTCTTCATATTAGGATTACAGGCCACAACTACACAACTATTAGTCCCAAACGATGTTAAGTGAAGATTACAGTGACACCATGAAGGTTTTAAATAAATGCAACAAACATGATTAAGTCCACATGTGCTCTAAGTCTCATCACAAGTGTTAATGAGGAAGTGTGATTTCGTTAAAGGCGTTTATCATAAACAGGCTTATCCAAAGTTTATGTGGGCTAATCTCTCTCTCTCCCCCCCTCCCTCCCTCCCTCTCTCTCCCTGTCTGTGGATATGTCTCTCTCTCTCTAAGAACACCACCAGGCTCCTCCTCTCCATGTTAATGTGACAGTAGCATCTCCAGCTCGGAGACAATCCTCCTCTCATTCAACTATGTGATCTGTTTTTCCCACACTGCTCCTCTCTTCTTCTTCTTCTTCCTCCTCCTCTCATCCCCCTCTCCTCCTCCTCTTCTCCGGCTCAATCAATGCTCGCTCCCCGTCAGGCAGCTGCCTTTCTCCGGGGGAAGTTACTTTAAACAGTTCACTCTGAAGTTTACTTTTTTAGTTGTTTTAAATATATATATTTGTAATTATCGGACATGACCACTATGGCAACTGCGGCTGCTCTGGCTCTGCTCCCCGCGGCTTCGCTCGGTCACCACCCGGCGCCGAGTTCCGTCTCCCCGGCCACCAACTCCCCGCCGCCCGCCGCCACCTCCGCAGCGTCCTCCCCGGCTCCTCCGGTGGCGCACCCGGCGCTGCTGCACCAGTTCCGCGCGGACCTCTTGCTGGCGAACGGCGCCGCGCTCAAGAGCGGAGGAGCCCCGGTGTCCGGCGGCGCAAAGCCCGTGTACGCCACCCCGTCGCCCGTGGAGAGCACGCCGCAGAACAACGAGTGCAAACTGGTGGAGGTGAAAGGTGCCAAGCTGGCCTCGTTCACGGTGAAGGACACGGAGCTCATCTGTCTGCCCCAGGCGTTCGATGTGTTCCTCAAGCACCTGGTCGGCGGGCTCCACACCGTCTACACCAAGCTCAAACGCCTGGACATTTCCCCGGTGGTGTGCAACGTGGAGCAGGTCCGGGTGCTGCGGGGGCTCGGGGCCATCCAGCCCGGGGTGAACCGGTGCAAGCTCATCTCCAGGCAGGACTTCGAGACGCTCTACAGCGACTGTACCAACGCCAGGTGAGAGGGGGATGATCGGGGGTCTCAGGGCTGCAGGGTCACACAACTTACTGTTAGAATAATGTAAATATTAATATAAATATATGTATGTGTCTGAGTGGTGGTAGCAGGTGCAGCAGGTGATTCTAAGATTGGATTTTAAAGGACTTTAACTTTTGCACCTCACTTTCTGTGAAATCAATCTGCAGGTCAGGTGAAGTCCCAGGTTTCATGAATTTGTGTACAAAATTAACACATAATATTTCTGAACACTGTGATTTCGTTCTCTAAATTAAAGGTAATAACATCCTCCAGAAGTCACAAGTAAAGTTAATGAGGGTAAAAAGAATATTCCTGTTGTTTCTGTCTGAAATATTGATTTGTTCTTCCTTCTATTGGAGCTTGTAAACCATTCCACTGTGACTGACTGGAGGTCCAGTCAACCCCCTTTTTTATTTACCACACAACTTGCTGCCGGGCCTGTTACTAATCACTGCTTTAACGGATGATGAACGCTGTGGTGGTGATGATGATGATGATGATGATGGTGTTGTTGATAATGAATTTTAGTAATCCTAATTAAAACACACACACCCTTTAAAGTTTGTCATGTTATCACGGGCTGAGATCTCTCGCTCTCTCTGACATGAACACACATGCACACAGTCTCTCGCTCTCTCACTCACACTCACACATGCACACATTGAATCTGACACTGTCATTCTGAGAAATTGATTCTTCACAGAAATTAATTAATTTTCATTTGGCCCCAAGCGGCAGCTTAAATCAGGACAAGCTCACTCACTCACTCACTCACTGATCCCTTTGCTCTCCCTCTCTCCTTCTCTCCGCCGGCCTCTCTCTTCCTCCATCTCTCTCTCCTTCCTTAATAACTCGCTGTCTTATCATATCAACACTCTTTAGCCCTGAGCATCAGAACAGAGGAGATGATTAAATGAATTCTCGGTGTTTATGATGCGATTATGTAAATTGGCTGTTTTGCAGAACTCCGATGGTGACCAACTACATGGGTCATCAATCCAATACGCCACAGAGATGTTTGGATAAAGGGGCTAAATTGGATGGGATTTGTGGTTTCCTGGTGCCTCAGTCGGCTGTTGTGGGGACCACATGCTCCTAACAGCATGGGTTTGAATCCAGAGGAGTGTGGATTAGCCTCAGTTTGGGGAATTTATATTGTTTGATAGTTAATCCCCRCTCCTTGGAGCATGAATGATCCAATTTACACCTGCCATTATATGCAGATTGAGGATGCATCAAGATGTGAGCAGATAGAAACTGATTTAAGCGTGTCCAAACTATTTTTAACCTGTTCTTTTAATGTTTCTTGGGTGTAGGTCAAATCATTCAGGTCCTTTTTAATGTGGCTCTATTTTTATCTGTGAGCTACTTTTTGATTTTAGTACCAGGTGTTAGTTTTGGAGACAAGCTTCGACTTGTTGAGCTAAAAACCACAAACACTCGCACACTGAAACAAACTCTTGCAAGAATCAGCTTCCAGCTCCATGTGAGTGGATTAACACCTGCGTGAAGCATTTGAGGCCCTCCAACCAAGACGAAATCCAGACACATCTTCCGGCTGCTCTGGGATTTCTTCCATGTCAGGTGTTAATGGGAACGTTGTTATACAACTTGAAAACCCACTGCCTCCACCATCTCTAATTATCCACACAACACTCAAACAGCCTTTAGTTAATGAGATCTAAAAACATCACTCTTCTGAAGTCTTCAAACGACTTCTGTGATTCTTTGTCTGAAGGCTTCAAATGTGCTGTGGTGGCCATTAGTATCACCCCCCTGCATTATGAGTAATTTAAGTAATCCCTTGTGTGGAGGGAGCAACATGCAACATGGGTAAAAAAAAAACTGGGTCTTAAGATGGTTATCGTTAAAAGCGGGAAGGATGGCTGACTAGACCTAAAGGTTCTGTGAACGTCTCCAAGAATATGATGTTACGTGTATGTGACAGTGTCGGGGCTCAGTGAGGTTTTTGTTACTGATTAAGACAGCCATCAGTTATTATTTTCCAGTCCAGTACAGGCAGACAGGCCGGAGGAAGAATAACAGCCCTGTCGGATTGTTTAACACGACTAACAGAATCGCTTTACAGGGATTCATGCTGTTTATTCTCTTTGGCTGTTTGTTCATTCATCGGTTCTCTTTTAAGATTAAAATTAAACCTTGTGAGGCAGAGGTTATGAAAATGTCCTCTGTTATCATTGTCTTTCCTTCTCCTCTTTGTCTCACTCTTTTGCTCCTGCTGTGCAGAAACACAAGCACATACACACACACTGTGTGACTTCAGAGGACGTTGCATTGACTTACATTAATTTCCTGGAGAATTACGCTAACCTGAACCATAACAACTACATGCATTACCCTAACCCTTACCCTAAACTCATCCTTACCCGACTATACCTTTACCCTTTTCCCTAAAATGTAATGTCCCCATTATGTGAATGTGAGATTTAGGTCCCCACCACATGACTAATACCTGGGCCACGCACACACATGCACAAACACCCACCCTGACCACTGACTCATCAAACCATGAAGAAGGGCCGACTTCACCCTCAGTCAAAGCCTAGTTATAATTCATGCATAGGTGGCACAAAAACACACTGTCTGCTCTCTCTGTCATCTCCCGACACACACGCAGACACACAAACTCTCATGGTCACGCCTGTGTGTTTGCTGGCTTTGCTGCTAAATGACATTAGTTCCACAGAGAGAACATGGTGTGTAGGAGGCAACCTGATCCTCCGTCCTTTTCTTTCTCCCGCACAAAGGAACAGTTTCATTCTCAGTTAGGAACACACATCAAACAGCTCGCTCAGGTCAAACTGTGCGTGTGTGTGCATGCATATATTGTACACATATATTATGCATACTTTGTGTGGCATACAGAAATGCCACCCCCCTCATGTTACATAAAAGCAGTGAAATGTGGTGAGACGAGAGTTCTCGTTACTTATTAACAAATTCTTTGTTAATAACAACACATGGTTTCTCCATTTATGTGTGTAAACATCTTTCATACACAAAGAAAAGTAGCAGAAGATGTGCGTCTCAAAAGCAGTGCTGTCTTTCTAAGTTCTCAAAGAAATGGTACGTGCTATTTGATATCTGCCATGAAGTTAGTTTTGGTTTTGTTTGCTCTTTTCCTGCCTCCAGCCCAATAAACAGGAGGTGAATGAATTTTGTTTGTGGTGTTTAAATAATGTTTTAAAAGTTAAACAACACGCATTTATAGAAACCATGTGCATGTTACTGTGGAGAGCAGACAAGATACAGTTTTCACTCAGGCCCTATTTCTACTTCAGACTGATGATGGTCCCAATGAAAAAGATTCTCTTCCTGGAAGGATAAATGAGATGTTGCTGAAAATGTCAATTCCTAAAACTGTGAACACAAACAAAATTCCATCACTTGAATTTCATTAAAGTGGATGTAGAAACAAAATTGTAACATTTACCCGGATCAGAGTTAACACATCTCTCTCTGCAGGTCTGAGGAAAAAAAATAACTTTGTTAAATCAAACTATGATTGATAAATGAAATGAAGTGGCCTGCGGAGTGCAACAAAAGCCTGCTCTTTGTGTTTCTCTGTGGCAAACCTCGGCCTCGCAAGTTGGCAGCGGAGAGCCACTGTTGTGTGTGCGCATGGGAAGGTGGACTCCTCAAAGCTGAGCCCCACTGCCATGCCATAACTCACTGTCAGAGAGAGCAGCGGTACGATGAAGGGGAGGAGGGCTGTGTGTGTATGTGAGTGTGTATGTGAGTGTGTATGTGAGTGTATGTGTGTGTGTGTTAGGGTTGGGTGGTTAGCTCAACTTTAACCTCTGCACTCTTTTGATGTTTTATAGAGAGGAGCATGATGAGATAGAGAGGGCCTCCATGTCTTCAACTATGACAGGTCTTAATGGAGTACACATGCACACACACACACACACACACAGTCTTGACATCGTCTTGACCCTGGAATGTGGGAGAGGAATGTGAGGCGGTATCAGTTTAGGAGATCAGATTCTTGCTATGATCAAACGTGCTGTGTGTGTAAGTGCGTGCGTGCGTGCGTGCGTGCGTGCGTGCGTGTGTGTG